GCACTTGGGGCATAGGAATAGCTGTCTTAAGTACAGGTTAGGTGACAAGTGGTTGGAGAGCAGCACTTGTGAAAGGGACCTCGGGGTACTGGTTGACTGCAGGCTAAACATGAATCAGCAGTGTGACGCAGTGGTCAAGAGGGCGAACGCCACCCTTGGTTGCATAGCCAGAAATGTGGCTTCTAGATCGAGGTATTATTACCATTCTACACGACTCTAGTTTTCCCGCAACTGGAGTATTGTGTTCAGTTTTGGGCCCCTCATTACAGAAAGGATATAGCCAGGTTGGAGTCAGTGCAGCATAGGGCCACAAGGTTGGTGGCTGGTTTGCAGGGGATGCCATATGAGGCGAGACTGAGGGAACTGGGTCTCTTCAGCCTGGAGAAGAGGAGACTCAGAAGGGATCTGTTGGCGACATACAGGTATGTGAGGGGATGTCACATGGAGATGGGTAGAGACCTGTTCTCCCCTGCAGAGGAAGACAGGACATGCTCCAATGAAGCAAAGCTCAGGGAGTCAAGGTTCCATTTGGATGCCAGGAAGCACTTCCTGACAGTTAGGACCCCGAGGGTGTGGAATGGGCTTCCACGAGAGGTCGTTGAGGCCCCATCGGTGTGGGCGTTCAAGGATAGGCTGGACGTCCACATGGAGGGCATGTCATGAGCGGAGCTGGCGGGCGCTGAAGGTCAGACTAGATGGCCCAGGAGACCCCTTCTGACTCGCTCTGTTTTCTATGTTTCTACGTTTCTATATTCCCACAGCGGAAAGAGATTATGTGACAAAAGAAAAATGTCTCCATCTTTTCCCCCAAAGCCAAGAGAAGTGGGAAAAACTGGGTCTCTCTTTAGTGGTTGCTTCTACACATATTTACCTGAGAATAAAGCCAGACAAGTTTGGTGGGAGTTACTCTCAAGTATGGTCAGGATTGCAGCCAAATGCTAGTTTGCTGGACACCCCACATCTAGGGTGCTGTGCAGAGGAGCTGCCCCCAACCCTCTGAACTTAGATCCATCCCAAGCAGAGTGCAAAGAGGGGAGGATGGAAGTTGATACCTTGGTGGTGCTGGTCTGGTCTAGTCCTCTCTTCTCCCCTCCCTGTGGAATGGCCCTCAAGCCTTTCTTCTAAGGTTTCTCATATGACCTTGGAGAACTAGTTGATGCAGCTTCTCCATGCAGGCTCCAGTGGATGGGAGGGGGATTTGGCACAGCTTCCCAGTTCTGAGATTGTATCTCCTTTTGATCCTCAAAGTTGGGAATCCAAATAATCCCATGGACCCCTAGATGCTGTCTAGGACGGGCCCATTCAATGAGTCTAATAGCAGAGTTCAAATGTGTTAAATAAGTTCAGTTCCCCTAAAAGGCTCACAATCAAGTTAATTAGTTAATTAATTTCTATACCGTCCAATGGATGGAATTCAACATTTCTAACATTATAGAAAGGTTAGCATACAAAATTTAAAACACATATTAAAATGTTACCATAGCCTATTTGAATTAATCAGACAACCTGCTGATTAATTCAAAATTTAAAAATAGACAGCATAGATGAATTCGGGAGAAGAGTGAAATGGAGAAGAGGTGAAAAGATGGCACTGATGACTGCAGAAATTTTTGCAAGGGAAGACAAAACTGTTCAACAGTATGGGGTTGAAATTGTATGGCACACAACTACAACAGACTTTTGTACTTTCCTTATTTATGTTCTTTGTTGTTTCATACTGCATCCCATGTTATGTAGAAGCCTACCAAAGTAGTGAAAGATCCTGAGTACCAAACAGCACTAATAAAGAAGAAAGTTTTAGTTAAGAAGAATCATGAACAATAAAAATTATTTGGAATAGCGAATAAAAGAACCACAGAGTAGGAACAAGGGGGTAAAAACCCCTTAACCCAAGTGCATGAACACAGTAGAGCTCTCTTAAGAATTTTAATTATGTATTTATTTATTCTTTCATTCATCAAATTTGTTTGGAAACTGCCTTGGCAGCCATTACAACAAAAGTACCAATAAGCAACATAAATAAAATGATACAATTAATAATTGTATAATAAATAAACAGGATAAGATCACATATACATAGTCAAAAATAAAACTCAATGTAGTTAAACCAGTGTGAATTCATACAAATAATCTAAGTGATGCCACAAATGTGCTGGAAGATGGCCTAGATGATCCAACCCTGTGCTAGTGCAGGACACCAAGTTACACCATCCACTCAGATGTCTGTCCAGTTGCATCCTGAATGCCTCCAGTGTGGGAGAGCCCACAGCCTCCCTAGGTAATTGTTGTACTGTTCTAACGGTCAGGAAAATTGTTCCAATATCTAGCTGGATTCTGGCTTCCTGTAACTCAACTCATTCTGTATCCTGCACTCTGAGATGATAAAAAAGAGATCTTGTCCTTCCTCTTTGTGGCAGCCTTTCAAGTACTTGCAGAATGCTATCATATTGGCTCCTCAGTCTTCTCTTTTCCAGGCTGAACATGCCCAGTTCTCTCAGTCTCTTCTCATAGGGTTGCTACATAACCCTGCAGTTGTATTAATTTAATATAATTTAATTACATTTATATTAACTTATGATATTGTTTTATCATTGTATAATATATTTTAAATGCCTGAAGTTAGCCACCTAGAGGTGCCATGGATGAAATAGGCAGCATATAAATGTTTTTAAAAATAAATAAAATAAATAGGGCTTTGTTTCCAGACCCTCGATCATCCTTGTTGCTGTCTTCTGAACCTTTTCTAGTTCTACTCTTGCCTCCCGCAAGAGCTGAAAATGGCAGTTTTCATCTCTGCCTCACAACAACCCATTCTATCCTTTAATAAATTTCTGCTACAATCAATTTTGCAGTCCCATCTGCATGGCCTTAAAACACCAAAAACACTGTGCCACACTGCAGCATTGTCACCCACTGGTCTTAGTGATGCCCCTCCACAAAATGGGGAAAACAAACTGCGCGACTTTGCCTCTTGTAATTTGGGTATAACAATAATGCACTTTATCTACATGGATTGACAATGTATTTTAAAAATGTTTATACATTCAGAAACTGTTCAAAAATTCAAGAAAAAGAGTAGTAACATAGAAACAGAGTGAGTCAGAAGGGTCTCCCGGGCAATCTAGTCTGACCTCTGGCACCAGCTGGCTCCGCTCACGACATGCCCAAGACATGTCCTTTGTTTTACCAGAAATGTCAAGATGAGAGTAGGAGGCATTGCCCTCACTCTGATTTGGATTCAGAAGTCATCATGTAGCCACATCTCACTGGCTACTGTTGTGGTCATGAAGCCAAACCAGAGCAAAGTTTAAGCGTCCTAATCTCACTCACTACTGCAACAAATTTTTAGGTAAGTGTGCAAATACTTGTTCCTAATTGCATATCTCTCTGAATCATTAAAGGGGGTTTTCCATATGGAACTTATAAAATGGGTGGGCAAGTGTGGGGGTGTTTGGCTTAGCCCTTTATGCATGTCGCAAGAAGTAATACCTTCTTGATGTTAAGCTGGGGTAAAATCAAACAAGTGGGGAGTAAGTTTGTACAGTCAATCCAATGAGTATAGAGAGCTGTGGCATGCGTACACCAGGCCTGCTACACTTACCTCTGTGTAACCAAGGATAAGATCAGACCATAACTCATTCAGACGACCTGTGGCCTTTTAATTGTTCTCTGATACTCAGATAAGTATGTGCCCTCAGCTACCAGTAGGGTGGCTACTTATGAATTGCCAAAAAAAGAGAAAAGGCATTCCATGAAAAGTCAAAAGACAACCATGATTGCAGTATTGTTGTTTATATAGAAATACAGTACATCTCATCATAATGTGGAAGAGCATGTGATCTGGTGGCCTGCATGTTCAGCACTCTTTGGGTGCCAAGTGCTAACGGGCAAAGGTTCTTGGTCTTTGAACTGGAATTTGACACAGCCATCCTCTTGTAGAGTGGTCATATCGCTACCTTATACTGAAAGACAAATATGGGGCATATGGATGCAGCACTGATAGATGTATGGAAGCAGGGAGAAGAAAAGCTGAAAAAACACTTATGTTTGGAGGGGCACTGGATAAGAGGGGCAGGCATTTTCAGAGTTAGGATAACACAAACATGTATAGATGGAAAGTGGCATCACCTGTCTCCCCTCAGCTCTTAGAACCTCTAGGTATTAGCTCATTAAGAGTCTTGTCTGCTTGGTAAATTAGAAGCATTTTCTACTGAATAATTTTATTAATTAATTAATTAATTAATTATTGCACTTCTATACTGCCCAATAGTCCATAAGCTCTCTGGGCAGTTTACAAATTGAAAAGACCTTGACAACCAGTAAAATAATCACATTTAAATAAAACAATAAATACTAGTACTATGAGATCAACAACCCACCGCAACTATAAGATTGCTACATGATTCGAGCATGCGTACTAGACGCCCCGACCCTTAATGTGTAATGTATGCGGCTTGGCTGCGGTTACTTAATGGTGAACGGGCACGCACCCTGCATGCACTCAGAAACACTCTTTTTATTACTTCGCTTGCCCTGGATCCCAGCCGTGGAAGTCCAAACAGGCTGCTGGGCCGAGCCTGGCACAGATTAAGCGCTGTACACGCACCGTAAAAATCGACTCGCCTCAAACACCGGCTTGGGGCCGCAAAAGCATATTTCAAAACCGCACTTATGCAGCTGCCAAGCGGCGAACACCCACGTGCACTCAAGCCTTGCCCCCAACGCAAAGCGCCTCGTTGCCCTTTCAGAGGTGTCTAACCTTGTGCCTGCAGTGTAGCTCTCTTCACCGCGCACCATCGCAAAACTCGTCCCGCTCTTTACAGCCGCGCACCTGCCGCGAGGTACACAAAGGGTCGGAGAGCTCCGCAGCCCGCGCGGACCCACAGTGCGGCCACACTTGCCGTTGGCTTGTTCAGGCAGTTTCGAAGACAGCTCGGCGGGCGGGGCTTTCCGGGAGTGGAAGGCGCCCCAAACAGCAACAGCCGGGCAGCAACGTGGGGTGGGATGGACTCGTGTGCAGTTTTGCGCCTTCTGGGCTTGCCTGGGGGCTCTCTTACCCATTTAGACCAAGCCAGAGGGGGGTGTTGTGCAACATGAAAGTAGTGGCTTTGATCAGGTAAAGCAACTGCGGGACGGCGGCGGGAAACTCTCCTCAGCTGATTAATACTTAAAGTTGAAGGTTTCTGCAGAGGGAAGAAGTCCAGATCAGCCAAAAAGCAGTCCCTGCTTGACTTCACGTGTCTCTGTTTAATCGCTCTCCTGATGAGATTTTTCCTGGCGCAGCTTTTTCTGGTAATCCCTGTAGCTTGGTGCTGTTTCTTCTGTGCCCCTCAGTCCAGCGCACCAGTGTCTCTGTGTGCGGGGTACCCCTGTGCGGGGTGCGGGGTACCCCTCGAGGAGCTCCAGATACTCTTCTTGCAGGGGCTGCTGCAAAGGTCTGTCTCAGCGCTCCCAGTTCCAGCGAGCAGGACAACCTGGCAGACTAGTCGTTGCTGTTTGTCTTGAGGCCTGCGAGGTGCAACGTGGTGGCTGCGAGCAGGGGTGAAGGACAGACTCTTAGCTCCAAAAGACAAAGTGCCTCTGAGCACATGCTTAGCCAGGGAATTTGTCTCAGGAGTATAACTGACTCTGTATTGCTCCTCACACACACTCCTGCTTTTTGCCCTAATTGCCCTAATTTCAGTAGTGCGACTCCCCACCCCCTTTGGTTGGTGAGCTAATCTCATTTTTGTTACTATTGTTAAACGATACATTTTTGCTGATCTAGGCAAATATATAGAGTTCTTCCCATTGCCCAACATTGGGGAAGGGGAATCGTGAGTGAAGTTTTAAAACTACTGAAGGGTGTAATCTTATGCATGCATAGACATGTGGAAAAGCCCTTCATTTCCCAGTATGGCTGGCAGGGCTGCTGGGAGTTGTAGGACCTTTTTCAGTCTAAACATGCATTATACTTGAAATCTACAAGTATACTGTTACTGTGTACTGTTGCAATAGGAAACATTCACCTTGTATAATTTTTGCAGGCTAAACATAATAGGTATTCTATGCCTTCCAGCCTCATAAACCTCTGCAGATATACTTCAGCTCACAAGTTGCGCTTCTTACCTATTCTGCCAAGTTATTACAGACAAGCCTTTCCTCACTGTTTTCTTTTGGGACTCCAACTTTTTTCATTCCCCGTAAGCATGACCAGTGTTGGGGGTGATGGATACTGTAGTGCACCACATTCAAAGAGTACCAGGTTGGGGTAATCGGCCTCATCTCTACAGCTTAAATCTGTGGCCTGAACTGGGGACTTGCAGGTGCCCAGTAATTGCAACACTGTTTTGTTTTACTTCTGGAAATATTTATTTAAAGCACCATTTAAACAGAAGAGACTCCCAGCTTTAAAATAATGAAACAGAATTGTCCCTGCCCATAAGCTTACAACCTAAAAGTTATGTAATACAAGGGGAATGGAGAGGAGAGAAAAAGCAAAGTTGGGCACCACTAAGTTGTAGTTCTTATAATTACTGTCTCCAAACAGTTTTGGAAGGGAGGAGATTAATGAAGCTAACCTTAGAGCTGACAGAATGGGTCAGCTTTCTCTTTCTGTCCGGTGCATCTTGAAGGAATGGCTCCTGCCAGGTAACAGAGGAACCCAGTGTAGCTCTCTGTGTACACACTAAAGGTATGGAGAGAATAACGGCTGGCCAGTATAAGCTTACTTGTTGTTTTGTGCCCAAGTCCATTTCAAGCATTTGTATGCAAAGAGATGTATAGATATGGCTGATAAAAAAATTGTCATTTGATGAGCATTCCTTGTTCCCTGCTTTGGCTTTCAGTTTGCTGAAAGGGGGTTTATTTACAAACTACTTTGGTGTGGATATCTTATGTACTTTTCTTTAAGGTGAATTCTTCACACTTGCTACATTTCTTGCTTCTTGTATTTGCATATTGATATCATATTTCAGGTACAGAACTGTAATCTAAGGGGACAGGCCTTCAAAGTGAGGCACAATCACATGGAAAGTCCCTCAAAATCCTTGACATGAAACATACTGATGGACATCAGGATTTCAAAACCACAGTGTATCAGGGATTGCATGAAATGGAAGTGTATGGAAGGACTATGGGTCTTATAAAATGGAGACTGCTGTCCTTAGTCACTCTGTTCAGTGCTCCATACTGGACTAGGGATGTTTAAAGTATGATATGGAAAAGTTCTGATGTAACACCATTTTTATACTAGCATGAAGCAATAAGGAAACTTGTATGGTGCTTTCTGTGGGTGGATTTTTGGAATGATGCTCAATTTGGAATGCATGTTTATCCTGAAGATTTTTTGGATTTGTGAAAAAGCTGCCCCATGTTTGATGGATCACTTGCATGTAAAGTGGGCTGGTAGATGCCCTCTATCCTTACAGGAAACTATTAGGGTGTCCAAATGAGACCTTTGTCTCCAGCACAATTCCTAAAAGCCATCTCTGGCTGGAGGTACAACATGTACATGTTCTCTGCCACCAGGTAATATACCTGGCAGTATAAGGAAACTTGCAGGCGCTAGCCCTGACTAGGGACTGGGTGATGGTGGTTAATAAGATTGACTAAGGGAGCAAACTTAGCTAAGGCAAAAAGCAATCCCACCTCTTCTCCCTCATTTTCAGTCACTTCAGTGCCAAGACAGACTCTCTTTAGAAGCTGTTGGAAGAAGTAGGTACGCAAACCATGACATTTTTCACAGATGCACATGTTTACTTATTTCACAAGTACACATGTGTACCTTTCTTGGGATACTAAATAAAATTAATAATTATTTCTGTAGCATGCACTTTGATCCTATATTCACAGGGCAGTCCTCAGTTCTCTAAATCTGTATATGTGGTGTCCTGTTGAATTTTGTGGGACCAAAGTACTTTTACGTATATTTATATAGTCTCCTTGTCTTGTATTTGCACTTTAGATGTGCTTGCTTTTCTTTAAAGAGCACAAGTCATATTGATGTACTTAGAAGCAATAGCAAATTGAGCATTTTCTTTCTTTTTTAAAGTCAGGGAAATTATCTGTAAAGAATCAAGCATTTAGTAACTTACATTCTTTCTGATGTCCTTACTAGCTAAATTGTCTCTGTTGACAGCCTTGCACCCACACAGCGTTGTTTTGCATTTGAGATTCACCCCATGAGAAGTCACTGAAAACAGGGGCTTAACAATAAAGTGCTTTTAAAGCTGGTAGATTAGATTGTGCAAATTATCTTATGCTCACAATTTGTTTTTAAGCCTTGCACTCAAGCAGAATGGCACAATGGTGGCTCATTTTTATATAAAACTTAGAATAACAAAACCCCCTTTCACTGTTCAACAGACAAGAGACATTGTTTATCTTTAACTAATCATAAATGTTCTATATATTATTTGTTAAAATAACAATGACAGGCCTCTTAGTGTGCTAGTAAATGTAGAATTCATAATTGTAGTCAAAGGCAAACCTATGATCTGATTAAAGACTTTTTTAAAAAGTGTCCTTGGTCTAGATGATTAAATTTGGAAAACCAAAATCATTTCTCTGCAATCGTTCATCATGATTCGGTGCGCCATTATGGGTGTGTGTGTGTGTAAATGGAAGGCTGTCATTTCCAATTCCCATTTTCTTCTGAGTACCATGGTGCTATGTATGCAAGGAGATTTCTGTGATGAGAACGAGGCAGTTCCTGCAGGTATGGAAGACCACCTTTATGTCAAAGGCCGTGTGTGTGTGTGTGTGTGTCCGTGCTCGCGCATAAGTGAAAGCCTGGGATGTGCAATCTGAATTTCAAACATAGGGTCGGTTCACACAGTCACCGCATGCACTGATGATATGTGGGTAGCCATAACTAAGGTTATCTGAGGGTTTTTCAAGCAACTACTGCTACTTGGGTTTAGATGACAGGACACACAAAGGTAGCCCCCTGATGGGGACTGAAAATTCAAAATGGACTCCTGTCTGCACTGCAGCCCATCATAGTTTAAATAAACCTGAGTAGGATGCAGTGGTCTTGTGAACTGTACCCTTTCTTAGAGTCTTAAAATTTTGAAAGCTGGTCTTCCTCATATATAGATTTTTTCCTACCTTTCTATTCTATCATTTTGAAATGTGCCGAAATGATTACATAGCTGTACTTACAAGAGAGTGTAAGCATAAAATCATACAACTGATTCTTTTTTTTTTCCAGTGGTGGAAAAGACAGCTGTTACAATATGATGCACTGTGTTGCTGCTGGGCATCAGATTGTTGCCTTAGCCAATTTAAGACCTGCTGAAAACAAAGGTGAGGATTTAGTATTTCTTGTGTTGTCACTTTAAAACTCTTCCATTATTTTACTGTATCACTGCTCTTCTAGACTCTTTTCCCTCTGCCCTTTTGACTTTCTTCCTGCCTGTTGAACAGGTGCTGAACAGCAGGTTTAGGAACAGGAAGGAGAACTTGGCACCCTAACACATTTCAATTTAATAATAATTACCATTATTGTAATGGGGCAGGCAGTGAAGAGCTTTGCAGATGCCATGGGAAGTTTCCGTGGATGCCATGATGGGCATTCTGATTTGAGGTATCCTGGTAAACAGGACTGCTAAGCATTCTGACTGTGTATCCAACGCATATTTAGTTAGAAGTAAGCTTAACAGGTTTGTATTCAATACCAGTCTAACTTAAGTCCCATACATTTCAGTAGGTCTAATTTAAGCATGACTAAAATTGGATATGACCCAATTGGGTGGGTGGGTGGAGGGCTTACCACCAAATAACGGTACATAGTATTGGGTCTTTATTATTATAATAAGAACATTTGTGGGAAGAGTTGCTTCAGATTCCTTTTTCTTTATATCCCAGCTGAGCTGTTTGTTGAATTACCTAGGCTGGAATAACAGCCTGTTGGTCATATGGTAGAAAACACCTGTAATTCCATTGTATTGCATTCATCTTGAAAACCAAATCCATGTTGAGATGAATCAGTCCTTTCTCCTTATATTGGCTCTTTAATTTTGATGTAATTGCAACCAATCTACCAATTGCTAGATAACATGAAGAATGAGCAGCAGGGTGGTATGTTGTTTATTTTCATCTTATGGACTTCCTATGGCCACCCAGGTCTACTTGGGAGTATGGGTGTAGTAAAAAAGGAGAGAGAAATTACAGGAGAGCATCTCAGGGACCAGGATGTTTTTGGAAGACCTCCTCCTGAACCCTGCAAGACTGTGGCCATTGTCACAATGTTGGAAAGAGGACTCTGATAGCCGATCCCTTTCCTGCTCTCTTGCAGCCACTGCAGAAAGAAACACTGTGACAGCTTTCCAAGGTCTGGAGAGATGAGGAAGTGGGCTTTCTAGTGGGTAAAGAGGGAAAAGGAGCAGCCATGATATGAGAGATCCAGTGAGCCCATCTAGAGAAGAAAGCAAAACCCAAAGGATGACGAAGGGAAACTCATACCTGCCACTTTGGATCCGAGAGCTTCTTACCACTAAAGGGCAAATCAGCTTGTTAGGCTAAGATGCCCATCTAGCTGGGGGTGTGGAAACAGGATGGAAAGGCTGTAAAAGCCTCTTTCGTCCCCCGACCCTACCTGGTTCTTGCTAGTAGAGTTCTGGGCAGAGTTCTGAGATTAGAGATGTCTGCCTGTTATGTGTTGTTTCCTTGGAACTGCTCTTCTCGATTGTTCTTTACATGGTGGAACATCAATTCTGGCTGAGCCTATTGCTTGTTGAATCCTTTGACAAAGTTGAGTTCCTTTGCGGCATCCATTGATAAAGGAATGAACCTTCATGCGTGACCCAACAGAGAAAAGCAGTCAGGTTAATTCAACCTGAACATGCATTTGATAGAAAGTGAAACAAAACTCTGTGTGGGTAATTAGTCCTTTCTTTGCCCTCCTTCAGTTTTTATCTTGTGATAGGCCGTAAGCTTAAATCCAGATTGATTTAGTACCTCAGATAGTTAAAAGTATTTCCAACTAAAGATGTATTTTTGTTTGACTTTTAGAGGGGATTGATGAGCTGGACAGTTACATGTATCAAACGGTGGGGCATCATGCTATAGAGCTATACGCTGAAGCAATGGGTTTGCCCCTTTATCGTCACACTATCACGGGTACTGGTGTGGCGACTGGGAAAACATACACCAGGTGCAAAGATGATGAAGTTGAAGACCTTTATCAGCTTCTGAAACTTATTAAGGTATGTTGTGTAGCCACTCACATTCTTGAAGTTAAAAATAAAGATGGGTTAAATATATCTATGCTGCAGACTTATATGCTGTAACTGCAGCCACTACTGCTCTTGTATTCATTTTTAGTCTTTGCCCTATATCTTGCTTCCTGTAACGAATAAACTTAGATGAAATGAGCCTTAATTTATAGCTTATTCTGTACTTTATTGTTGCTTCCTGACTTCAGGCTAAAGACCCCATTTTAGAAGTAAAAACTGATTTATGCTAAGAACTGTGAAATGTATACCTAAGAAGAACTGCAGGTTCCTTGTCATTCACTGTCTTTCAGGTTTTTAATGGCTGATATATTATGTTTTCTTACTTCCAATTTCTTATGTTTTGTATCTTTTGTTTCTGTACTTAACTGTAGGGAAAATGTATTCTCCATGAATAAGCCCATGAATTTTAAAGCAGAATCAAAGAAGACAGGATTTATTATTTATATTGTTTTTCTTATTCAGAGCATTATGCAGTATTTTTTCAAGTTGCATTTTTTCGTGTTGATGATACTCTGAAAATATCAGTGATAGCTTTACCTACTGTTGTTGTTAAGGCCACAAGCCATTGGAAAGGTGAATATATTGGTCTTGTACTAGTATAGAATGAACCATTGTTTTTCCTTACAGGAGCAAATGCCAGTGAGCCTTGGGTTCTCATGTTTCCCCCTCTTTGGCCCTTCTCTAGTGTGGCCAGGAAGAAACTTACAGAGGCTTTTTCCTTTGTTTTAGACAATCACACTTAGGAGACAATCCTGTGGACTCCCAACATTATTTGGGAGGCCATAGGAATCTTTGGAGTTCAGAAGCTTGGTGCATCTTCTGTGAGGGTGATTGGATTTCACTCTTAATTACTTTGGTCAATCTTGGACAGACCACAGATAGGCTTAATTATGGATAGCTGAAACAAGTCAACTTCTTAGTTTATGAAGCTGATTTTTTTTACAATAAACCACAGAAAAAATTAACCACAATAGGTATAATGCTACACTGTGGTTAGTTAAAACTAGAAGCAAATCTGCCAGTCTTCTCACAACTGCACCTGGGCATCGTAGCACAGTACTTTATGTACCATTTTGTACCATTGCCTCTGAACATTGTCTCAATTCAGACTTTTACCTTCACTGCAGTGTTCATGTAGACTTACTAGAAGAAGGAGATTTCCTATGTGCTTGAAAGGAGAGAACATCTCTCTACATACCTGACTTAAGGTCTCTCCTTCTCAAGTAAATGAGGATGCCCTTATAAACAGAAGACTTTGTGTATTTGTTGGAAATATCCTATGTGCAAGGAATGCATTTGAGTTATTCTATAGAAATATATAAAGGCATGAAACTACACATGAAATGAAATAAAATGATTTCGTGCCTTAGCTCTTAAAAACCATTCATTATAATTTGAGTTAGGATTGTTAAAATCATGAAGTATGAAGTTATCACTATGATCTGAGAGGGTTATTTTAGAAGATCCCATTGTTTTATATTTGTATTGCTTCTCTCTGAACTTTTATATTGTTGCTGATGCCTTGGTGTAACCTTGTAGCACTTGTAATTGTTGAGACAACAGTCAGTATTGTAATGATGGCTGACCAACAGAAGATGAATTACACTGTAAGAGAACTAATCCTTTGTTAAAAAAATTCTGTCAGTCAGAATATAATAATCTTTATGTCACTTCTATATTTAAATTTCCTTTGTAGAACAATGGTATGTTGAAGCTGCACCCATCTGCAGAGAGATCAGTGATAGGTCTCAGAAATTTTTTTTTAGAATACATGTGGACTCAAGGAAATATACTGTAGTATTTTTAAAATCTGCAAGGATAAATGAGGGTATGGAATGGTAATTCCACTTGTGTGTAATCCTGGCTACTATGTAATTTGTTGCAAATTAGTTATGGTTTTGCCACTTTCCAATTTCATTGGGAAGATTTTTAGTCTGATAGCTAGAATTGCAGCCTGTCCTCATTGAGGACACTACCCCACACTCCTAAGATTACATTTGGGAAAAGGCTTCCAATGAGTTCCTGTGGATTGTGATGAAACAGCAGAGGATGCCAGGGTTAGATTGGGAAGAGAAGGGTCCATGCATCTCCTGAAATGGATGAAGCCCCAGGAAAGCTTAGTCCCCGGTCACAGGGAGAAGCTGATAGCCTGGAAGAAGCTGTAAAGGGTATGGAATGATGACAGGGATAAGATGAACCTGAGAATATGGGGCTTCTGCATCAAAACAGCCCTCTGCAAATGGAGAGAAGGGCAGGGTTTTGTCACTCATGTCAATGTTCCTTGTGCCCTTCAGCTGCTCCAAATGCTCTTCACATTGACCAATATTGTATATGATATTGGTCTGATATGTTTACCCCCGCTTCATGAGTTTATCCTTTATTGGGCTAATGCACATTTGGGCCATTGTTTCTATTTTATTATATGGTTTTTTATTAATTGTGTCTTTGGTGCTACTGATGTGACTTTAGAAGTGGGCCTGCCTTTCCTTGTTTATCGGTGATTATAGGTCTTGAGGAGCATCACCTAGGAAGCACAGGGTGTCATGCCAGGTGATATCTAAGTGCAATGGAGACGAGGCCTCATGTGGAACCACCTTTGTGCATCTGTGTTCCATTTTTCCCTCTATGTATTCTGAACTATTTCCTGTGGCTGCTTGCTAAGTTATGTGGTAAATTCTCCCAACTTTATACTGCCACTTTTTTACAATATACATTTGAAGAATGATGCTCACAACAGCCCTAGTTGTACTGTAAACAATTTGGTTCCCTGGAAGATCCCAATAGAGAAAATTGAATTAGTACTTCTTAAAAAGGAAAAAGAAGCTTGCCTTGCTAGAATAGTGTCTTTCAAATACGTCTAGGCAACCCTGGGGTTCATAGGGAGCGTATCTGGTTTTTCTACTGAGGAGATGGAGAAGCTTCCAAAAATATAGTTTTCCCACTATTATCACTCTGCCTTTGCAATGGGTGGCTGTGGGACAAGGTTATATATGTTCCTGAATACATTTTCAGTTCATGCATAACAACAATGTTATGTTTGCTCTCTTGAGTTCCTTAGAAGGAGAAAAGATGGGATATAAATATAATAAATTCCACCTGAGTGGATGTGCACCTTAGAAAAAGCATGTTTCTACCATAAACATAGGTTTATAGCAGACAAGCCTATGTGGAAAGGGTTCCCTAACCTCAGTACATCCTTGTTCCAAGGGAAAGCGCAGGAATATTGACTTTTAAGATGTCCTGGTATGCAGGAACTAAAAAAATTCATTAGCAAAGAATAAAGGGGAATTACAAAAGCCTTCTTTGTTGGACCAGTTTGAATCTGGTTTGCAAGTTATATTTTGGTTTCCCTAGTGAAAATTTTTGAGAGCAGTTTTTGTTTACCATGACTTTGCAAGTTTGAGTTGATGCATTTGGGTGTCTGCAGTGCAGTTGGGTTTTCTGGCAATATGCAGCTAGTCCTTCATATATTTGTTCTGACTTCTATATTAGCTCGACACATTTTAAGATTAGGTTGTAAAAAGTGTAAAGAGAATGTATTATTGATCAGCTAATTAAATGATTAATGACAGGACAAAGTTTCTTTCCATTTTCTTCCTGACAGCATGGACTGAATGCTTTGCTATTATCTGGAGAATAACAGTCAGTTATGACATAAATTAATGCTAATGTTAAATCTTGACAACTTCTGCTTTGGAAGTTTGTGCATGATATTTATAACTATAGTTGAAAGAGATGTTATCACGTTGTCTTGGACTAAATAAGTGAGGTGTTTTTTGTGTTCTGAGCAGATATTAATTTCACTGCAAGAAAATTTACAGATATAAATATATAGAATCTATTGCATTAATGATAGACATTCTATAATCGTGCTTTTACAGCTGAATTCATTTAAAAACAGTTAAGTTCTAAAATTGCACTTAAAATCTTGCACATGTCAATAAATAATTGGGTAATTTATAAGGAAAGAATGAATGTTAAATTGTTCATTTTAGGGGTTTTAAAAAACATTTTAAAGAAAATTGTGAAGAAACTGATCTGTTTTTGTTGCAACCATGGAAAAACTTGTGGTCTAGAATGATGATATTCATCCCAATTAACTGCAACTGCTACATCCGGCTACTGTTCGGATATTGCAAAACACATATTGGTTTGGCTTAACTACTCCTAGAATCTCAGAGATGAAAGGGACCCCGAATATCACCTAGTACAGTTCCTTGCTGATGCAGGGATTCCACAACTAAGGCATACCTGATTGGTGGCTATCTAAGATTTGGTGAAGGATGGTCCACTATGCAAGTGGGATGGAGAAATTGGCATCCTCAGGTATTTTGTGTTTTGCTGATGAGTACAAAAAGGAGAATTCTAGTGCCAAAGAGAGTGAAACTCACCACCCTTGTTCATGGAAAAGCTCGCTTGTGCCTGCTTTGAATTGACAGCTTGACTTTTGACGGCTGTGAAGACAAAGGAAAACAAAACCCTGCTGGGGAGTGACAGTACTTGGTAGCTGCTGCATTTTGACACTACCACATTCCCATTTTCACATTCACAGACATGTGCACACCTGTGGAATTCCACAATTGCAGCATACACAACTATTTGCATACCCATGGCGGCCAACAAAGTTGCAAATCATTGTTATTACCTTCAATGTGCTGCTTGGGTACTTCAGAGAAATTGTCAAAACAGAGATCATGAAAAGTGATCTTCAAAGGGGAGAAAAATACTTAAAAGGAGGAAGAAGCCACAATGATCCAAGATGGCTCCGAGGCAAGATGGGCTGGGGGGGAGGGGGTAGTGGCTGGTGTAGCAGAGTTCCCTGGATTCTGGTTTGTGGACCAAAGGGGAAGGAGGTATATGACAACCCATGCTGAGCCTAATTGTCAGGTTCAGCTTACATTGTTTTTGTAATGATCCATCCGCTGTGGTTTATTGCCAGGGTGAAACGGCCCACCATCAGTTAATCATAT